GAGAGAGATAGTGGCTGAGTGAACTATCTCTTGGACCTTCCGGTTACCGTGTACGTAGACCCTGTGGCTACGGGCCCAGTTACCGTGTACGTAGACCCCGAGGCTACGTACACGGTTACCGTGTACTTAGACACTCCGTTTAGGCTAACACTAACTTATAGATCTAGATCTAATCTAGAATCTAGATTCTAGATCTAGATTTAGATCTAGAATCTAGAATGTTTGTTCACGGCACAGAATTCTACAATTCTGTTATCACAGTGTAGAATTATGTGGTTCAGGGTGAACGCTTCACTGGTTGGCCTAGGCTATAACGGTGAACGCCCACCGGGTGAAAATAGCCAAAAGACTCGCCTGCGCTATAGAGGTGGCCGCAAAACAATAACAAACACTTCGACCTCGTTTTTACCATTTCATAAGTTCCTCCGGTTCATCAAGATATTATACACAGCAGGCAACCAGGAAATCTTTAGATCAGCTGTCTCCAGTTTCCAGCCCAGCTTAAACCACGAGCAAAAGCACATGAAGAGAATAAGCTATACCGAGAAAAATCGCGTTAGCAAGTTAGCCTACTCTGACTCGCAATGGCGCGCCATTATTTTGGTTTGCCGGTTATTGTTTTTTACGATTTAGATCTACGATTTTCGTTTCGACTCTCACATCCGGCCAATGTTCAACGGTGTCCCGCTGATTTCTGAAACCCCGCGATTTATTACCCCTATACATGTATTTACAAGTAGGAACCGTAAGTAAACTTAGATGACTAAGGCATATTAATATATATATAGCTGGGAAAATGTTAATACACCCCAAATTGATCACTCTTTTGGGTAATGCATTGAAAATACTCAAAGTCACTTTTGATATCGAAAAAAAAATCTCAAAATCATCAAAGCCTAACATTTTCCCAGATATATTATTCCTTAGTCACTTAAGCAAAGATAGTTATGTAGACTCTTTGACTTAAGTCACCCCGGGGTGCCTTAGTCATCCCGGTTTTCCGTACACATTTCCTGCATTTTGGGACTTAAAGCAAATAGTACACATGTACTACCTCTGCGAAAAAAAAAAGTGTTCATGATAAAAGTAATTTGTATCAATTAAGGGACAGGTTCAAAAGGTTAAGTTTTTATTATTTTATTCCAGTTATGCAACCATGGATGTATGAATACAGTCAAACCTGTGTAAGACGGCCACCCATTGTCAAGGAGAAAAGTGGCCGTATAAGACAGGTGGCCGTCTTAGGCAGGACCGATCAA